ATTCTGATGTCCTGCTTGCTTTTTTAGGCTCTAAGTGCTATCCTGCTGACTCACTTCCGACTTCTCCTCGTTCATCATGCTCAGCTCCTGAAAATGGAATAGGATGGGAAGGGCCGGGAATTATACTGTCTGGTGAGATGTTTAAGGGGACAGGCACCCTGTGTGGTTAGAATGCCGGGGCTGTGAGCTGAGCCAAGCCCACAGCCTATTTCTCATCTGACCTGTGATGCTTGACCTTGGATTGTAATACTAATAATAACCATCCCACTTACTGCCACTGATGAGGAGCCAACAAGCCCCGGGCTACATACTTTCTGTGGATTGCCTCTTTGATCACCACAGCTGAAGAAGAGAGGGATCCTCCCTGTTCAGACAAACGCAGTCTCTCCAAGATAGGCTAAGGCACCTGCCAAGGTCGAGCAACTAGTAAGGGAGGGGCAGGGCAAAGTTTCAAAACCACGGTTTAGATCTCTGCTGTTTAATGAAGTAGCTGCTAGCCACAAGTGGCTAATGAACCCTCAGAAAATAACTAGTGTTTGAAAGAGGACTAGAATGAAGAAATGGATTTTTTTTTTTAAAGGCATGGCATCCCTATACAGCCTGGTTGTTCTGGGACTTGCTATGTCGTCCAAGCTAGCTTCTACCTGTCTCAGCAATCTGAACACCTAGGTTTACAGGAATGTGTCACCTGAAACTGAGCTTTTAACTTAACTGGGTGGCACTTTATATGAGTGAAAATGCATACAAATGTGTGTATGTCTCCTTTTAAATATTTATTGCATATTAAAGTTCCAATATTTTTCATATATCAAGTTAAGTGAATCATATCCAGATAATGCTCTGTGTTCCTTTTAGCTTTCTTTATTTGCTTTATTTATTTATTCATTTATTTTTGAGGCAGGTTCTTGTTCTGGAGCTCAGGCTGGCCTTGATCTTGTTTGTGGCAATTCTGATACAGCCTACAGAATGCCAGAATTATGGGCATTGGTTGCCATGTCCAGCTTCAACAGGCATTTTAAATTATACTTAAAAATTAGAAATCAAAGCTATAATGATTTCTTGGGAGTTTGTTGTTGTTTGTTAGTTTTTTTGTTTTTGAGACAAGAGTCTCATCCTGTCAGGGTGGTGGGGAACTCATAATCCCTCTGCCTCAGCTTCTTACTCAGTTGCTGGTACTACAGATGCCCACTTCCATCCGCCATCAGAAGCTGTCTGTACTAATCTCTCAGGAGTCTAATGGCTCCATTTGGGTAGCACCTGGAGTCTGCTCACTTTAGGTGGAAATTTTTGTTCTAAATAGACGTACAGCTCCTTAATGTGCTACTGGCATTCCAGTGAAGTCCCTTCAAAAGGCTGAAAGTCAGTTTTGAGAAGACTAAGTCCCTTTCCTCTGGTCCAGTGACCTTCCAACCTCAGGACATTACCTGGAGGGCTGGTTAACCAGAACCCAGTTCTTCCTTCCCATTCAAATTCTAACTCCGTAGATTTTGGACCGACTCAACAGACCTTGAGTGCCTAAGAAGCTTCTCAAAAACTAGACTAAAAGAGACTGTTGTGTGGCCAGAAAAATGCAAAGGTGTCCCAAGCATTGCTTGGGAGTGAGAGGAGACCGGAATTAATGAATATTGAACTTTTTCCTTGCTAAGCACTTTTCAGCATGTCACCTCACTTCATCCTCATGTCAGCTTAATGAAACACACGTTATTTCAGTGGAGGCGACTGGGAAGCCTGGTTAAGTTGCCAGAAACATGGAGCTGGCAAATGACAGCCCTCGGGTTTGACTCTCCCTGACCCGAGCGGCTCATACAGATCTCCAGTTCTTTGCTTTTTTTTCAGGCACTGTCCTATGAACAGGGTGTCCGACATTAAGTGAGACAGACAAGCTCTCTGTTCTGGCCAAACTCAATAAGCAATTAGAATAGAGTTCTCAGGGCTTGAGGGAGGCAGTGCCATGGAGATCTATAATAGAGTCATAGTCTAGATGAGGGGCAGTGAAGAGCTTTCCAAAAGAAAACGTGAAATTCCCGGAAGTCCGAAGGGTGCACCAGAGGAGTGGAGCATGGTGGAGAGATCTTTAAAGCTGAAAATGAACCATGACGTCTTAGAGACATCAAAGCGTGTTAGGAAGCAAAGGAAATTTAGACCGTCTCAAGCAGAGAGGGTAGAAGTGAGAGAGAGGTCCCCTGGAGTAGACAGGAAGCAGCTCATGCCAGGCTATTTATGCGTATTGACTTTATTCAAGGCTAGAGGCATGGTCAGACGTGTACACCGTTCTCCGGTAACCACAGGGAAGGAGTCCAAGAAACCTAAGAGAGAGCCTGAAACCGTGACTAGTACCAAATCCTACAGATATTCCCTTTTTCCTGTACATACATGCCTTTGATAATGTTTCATTTATAAATTAGGCACAGTAAGATGAAATAACAAAAATTATGAACTAGAACAGTTGAACAGCCATTAGCTTTAATTCTTGGGATCAGAAGTGTTTCAGATTTGGGATTTTTATTTTTAGGATTTTGATACCTTTATACATATAATAATATCTTAAGGTTGGAATCCAACTCTAAACTCAATATTCATTTATATTTTACATAAACCTTAAATGCATAGCCTTAAGGCAACTTCAAGGATTAAGGTAATAATATTTCAGTGATCTGTCACAGGACATCAGGGATGGGATCTTTCTTTCTTTCTTTTTCTTTCTTTTTTTTTCTGATTTTTTTTCAAGACAGGGTTTCTCTGGAGCTTTGGAGCCTGTCCTGGAACTAGCTCTTGTAGACCAGGCTGGCCTCTAACTCACAAAGATGCGCCTGCCTCTGCCTCCCGAGTGCTGAGATTAAAGGCGTGCGCTATCACCTCCTGGCCCAGGATTTTTCACTTGTGGTATCATGCTGACCCTTGAAAAGTTTTAGATTAGGGATATTTCCAGTTCTGAATTTTCAGATTAAAGGATGCTCAGGGTGTATTCTGTGTTCTCTAACACAAGTGATGTGAACATGGCCCCACTTTCAAAAACCTGTTCTCCCAATGTTTCTTGGGATGAATTGAGGTTATACAATGCCTGTGAGATAGAGGAAGTGAGAAGTGGCTTATGCTTTAGGATGAGCAAGTAGACTGCCTCGTGGTGCTGCTTCTACATAAACCCTACAATATGTGGGAAACGATTTGATGCCTGAAGGCTAAGTCAGGATTTCATCCCACTGCTCAGAATGGTGCGCCTTTCAAAATGTGTTTATTTCTGGAATCTTCTATTTAATGTTTTTGAATTACAGTTGATTATGGATAACTGAAATCATAGAAATCGAAATCTCAGATAAAAGTAGACTACTGAATTTTTTCCCTTATTTATTTACTTGTTTGTAAACGGTTTGTTTTTCAAGAGAAACTATTCCTTATTACGCCTATTGGTATTTGTGTGTTTGCTTGTTTTTTGAGACAGTGACTCACTATGTAGCCCTTGCTATCCTGGGACTCTCTTTGTAGACCAGGCTGGCCTTGAACTCACAGAGATCCATCTGCCTCTGCCTCCCAAGTGCTGGAATTAAAGGCATGTACCGTTATGCCCTGGCTACATATTTATGTTTAATAGTTCAGGAATACAGATCAGTAACAAACTTCTATGAAACTCAACCCAAAGCAATTCCTTACATTTCAAAACCACATTGAACTCTGAAATGTCCCCAGAATCTTTCACAAATCATGATTTCTCTCAAAAACCCCATTCCTTCTTTCTTGGTTTAATGAACAAACTTACGGGCAGCACCAACACCTTCGTACAGATGATGGGAACTGAAAAGTTTACTGTGTCCTCAGCAACCATTGGTTTAAAGGAGAGCTGCCCGCAGGGAGGGAGAAGCATTAAATATGCTACTATGTTAAGTTCCGGTGGTACTGTGGTGAATGAGAAGTGGAAATGGAAACATGTTCAGAATGTTTAAGACTACTTTCTTGATAGGAAGGGAGGAGTGGATAGGCAAAGAGGAGTAAAAGACAGCCACCAGGATTTTTGGTACACAGTTTTACTATGAATAACAGTTGTTAGCCTAAATATTTAAGAGTAAATTCAGTCTAAGTGAAATAATACCAAAGAATGATGATCTAGTAAAATGTCAATAACTGGAACTTACTTGACCAGAAAACTTTGGGAGAATATTACTGCTTGGGACTTTAACTGTAACTGTTTTTTTTTTCTTCTGGGTTTTAATTTGTATAAATTTTGCAGTCTGTTGAGAGAGCATATTGAAAATAAAGCCTTTTTTTGTCAAAATCAAGGTTAATCGACGCATCTACTGAGTTTCTTCTTATTAAGTAACTTTGAACCTTGAGTTTCTGAAGCTCAATATGCTTTTTTGCTCCTTCTATTTTTTCCCATAGCTTATGCCTTAGAGTTGTAGATGGCTCCTATCAATGGACCAGTGATGATTTGGACTCCGCCTTCTTCATCTAAGTCCCGCCCACACCAAGCCACACCCCTTTCTATCGACCCCGCCTCCTGAAAATGTCGTCTCCGATCTGACAGCAAATTCTCCACAATCCTGCCCAATAGGACATGTGAAAGGCGGGACCTATGTCAATCTTTTTTTCTTATTTGTCCAGTTATATGTCTATCTGTACTCAGTTCCATCCCACTTGGTCTTCATCCCAAGGATTGGTTTCTCTGTTCTTTGTTCCTGGCTCATGATTGGTTTTTTTCATTCCGCCCCTCTCTTCTAGATCTTGCAGGCGGGATTAGCACGCAGCTTCCTGCTCTTGCCAAAAAAATAAAAGAAGAAAAAGAAAAGAGGAGAGCGGCGAAAGAAAAAAAAAAAAGTCACGGAGAGCTTTGGTTTTTAATTGGCTTTCACCCTTGTCTATCAGGTCAAGATTTGCCTTTTGATTGGTCTGCCTGTCTGCCCATCCCGAATCGGGGGTGGGATTTCCCCAGGAGACCCACACCTGGTTACCACTGGTCGGACAGTGCGCCTGTCTGAAGCTTCCGGCCAGGGATTGGAGGCGGTCGCGGACAGGTGGGCGTGGATTGGCTAGGGGAGCCGGTCAATGTGAGGCGGGGGCGGGGCCTCGGCTGCTGGTTGCGCGTGTCCGCCGCTGGCTCCGCTCTATCCGGCTTTGCTAGGGGAGGTGAGTCCGGCCGCGGCGGCACTGGCGGCTGAGAAGGCGGCGGCTGAAGAGAAAGCGGCCACGGCGGCTGTGAAGAAAGCGACCGTGGGCACGGAAGCCGGGTGGGGGGGAGGGGGGGAGACGGAGCAGCCTTGAGCCCTGCAGGGGCCGTCGCGCGGGGGACCCACCCGCTCTCCCCCCCAACCCTCCTCAGCACAAGCAGCCGGCGGCGGCGGGGGCAGGAGTCAGCCTGCTTCCGACCGTCCCCCGCCCGCTTCCCGGGGCTCCTATTCTTTGGCCCCGGGACCCTTACCTCCTCCCGGGGCGGTTCCCTGTGTCTGGGCGTCCGAGTGCTGCCCACCGCTCTTTCATTCCCTCCCTGCACCTCCTTCCCTTCACTTTTGCCGGGGTTCTCTCTCTCCTCTTCTGTCCTGGCTGTCGCCTTCTCGCCTCACTCTCTTCTTCCAGCCTCCTTCCCTGGCTCATTCTGCCCAGTAAAGTTTGGTGCACCCCCCCTCCTCCCCAGACAGGTCAACCAGACTAGGAGTAGGGGGAGATGTAGGAGGGCCTGAGAATTCGAGGGGGGGGGGGAAACTGGAAGCTGGTTTCCCTGACAATTTACCCTCATCTTTTTGATTTATTAGAGTGGTTGGAATTTTTTTTTAAATTGTGTTTTTGAGGAGGTAGGAGGTGTTTAGAAAAGGATGTGGGAATGGAAGGGGTAGATGAGTCAACCCTCTTACAAGATTCCAAGGGTGGTGTGTTACCAGATCCTTTTCGTGTGTGGAGTTCAGGGGTTCGGGAGGTTTGGCCTTTATTCCCACAGTCAAAGTTGGAACCTCCCCCCCATTAAGAATGGAGTTTTAGTATCCACTTGTGGCAGGAATCCTGGGGGGAAGGGGCCCTTTTTCCTTTTTCTTTTCCTTTTTCCCCTCTTATTTTATGTTATTAACTTTTATTTTGTCAACCCACACCCTTCCACACACTCTTACCCAAAAGATCAAACACCCAAGATCCTCTAACTTCTCTGGATTGACTGATGAAGACATAAAGCCAGTTACGCTCTATGTTTTTTGAGGTGGAGTGGGTGGTTTTCTTCATTTTTTTTTTTTAAATGGCCAAATGACAGCTTGACCCAGTTTGCTTTCCAATCAAAGGGCATTTTTGTTTTGAATGTCTCTTTGTGGCGCAAGAGCCAACGCAAAAATGATGGCGGCTTATAATGGCGGTACATCTGCAGCAGCAGCAGGTCACCACCACCACCATCACCACCATCTTCCACACCTTCCTCCTCCTCACCTTCACCACCACCACCACCCTCAGCACCACCTTCATCCGGGCTCGGCTGCTGCTGTCCACCCCGTGCAACAGCACACGTCCTCGGCAGCTGCGGCGGCCGCAGCAGCAGCCGCAGCCGCAGCCATGTTAAACCCTGGGCAACAACAGCCATATTTCCCATCGCCGGCACCGGGTCAGGCTCCTGGACCAGCTGCGGCAGCCCCCGCTCAGGTCCAGGCTGCTGCAGCTGCGACCGTGAAGGCGCACCATCATCAACACTCGCATCATCAACAGCAGCTGGACATTGAGCCGGATAGACCTATTGGATATGGAGCCTTTGGTGTTGTCTGGTGAGTATCAAAACTACGGCTCCACATGGTCCTCACTGGGCAGTCCACGGTTCCTGGTTTACTTCCTCTTGACCAAAGGAGAGCAAGCTGCTCAACCCCACTTGAGGAGCCACCCTTGTTGGTGATGAGGCCTGGTGTATTGGCTCTCTGGGCCTGCAGTTTTTTGAGTCATGACAAGTGGTAGTGGAGCCCTGTCACCTAAGTGACACACGTTTGCAGACTGTTGGTTAAAAGTGCCTGTGAAGAACCTCAGTTGAGTGTAAGATACTCCTACAAAGTAGTGTTAAGTGAGTGTGTTAGATACTCCTCCAAAGACCGTGGTCATCTCTCATGTGTGGTAGTTTTGATTGGCCGCTCAGTTACAGAAGGCGTCAACAACTGACTCCCCCAACTTGGTTTCTTTATGGTAGTCCCCAGCAGAATATAGTTAGTATCATCAACTTTCTGGCCCACTATGACTTTTCATCCCTTACTTTGTGATCTCGGCCTTTTGAAGAAAGGTAGGTTTCATTGTTGAACCAATTTAAAAAAAAAAAAAATCATCACTTGAGTGGCTTATTTTAAACCGTGAAGCTAAAGTTGGGAAGTATGTAGCTTAACCTTCTGATAAGAATGCATTAAATATAGCACCACACACGAGCAGCACAAATGAGGTTAGTAGACTGGAGCTATGCCGTGGCCCACATTTGTGGTGATGTGGTGTCACCGACTCTTAGGGTGCTTTTAGTCCTTGGTCAGTTGTTTTGGTAGGAACTTTTGCTAGTAGTCGGGTGTGTGTTTAAAAGTCTGAAGATTTCTTAGATGCAACCTCTTTGCGTATTTGCTCTTCCTAGGAAGATTGGTGAAGCACAGACCGAACTGAGGATTTCTTCTTCCCTCCCAAGCCTTAAGAATTTCAGTGTAGAGAGATGATTTCCTGTTTTCAGTGCATGCAAACGTAGATTCTTAATGCCCAGCAAAGTCCTTGTCACAAAAAAAGGAACTCCTTCAAACTAGTCTGTAAATAATTTCTTTTTGTCTTTGTTTTTAAGGCTGAAGTTCAGCTAGGTATCATTTGCATAATAGCTATCTATCTTCATGTTTCAGAATTTATAGTCTTGGCACCTAAGTGAGCTGATTCTTAATTCTTCTTTTAAAATGAAGAAAACAGAGTCCAGTTTTTCCTCAGCTAGCCTGCAAGGAGGTTATTGCTGCTTTCGATTCCTAGTGGGAAAGAGTGTAGGTTATAATGGTTCCTTTCCAGTCACCCTGTTCAGGGACCTGTCTGTTCCTGCTTTCCTCTTTCTCTTCCATAGCACCCTCCCCAGGGACTTCACTATGAACTTCCATTCCTTGCCTAACCCTTGAGGTTTTCCAAACTCTGGGGGATGGGAGGAGAGCAAGAGAAAATTGGTTCCTCCTTTGACTCTTGCCATTTTACAAACTTTGAGTATCTGGATTTTCTAGATGTGGTTGTGCCTGTCAGTGCTGAAAACCAGGAATACAAAAAGGGAAACGGTTTTTAGAATTTACTCACTACCTTTCTGTCAAAAGGCGAGGTTACTTGTAGAAGTTTTAACTTCAGGTCTGTGGCAAGAATAAAGAAGGCTGAAAGGGAGTGCTCCAGCTTCTCATTGGCAAATGTTGTGCTAGTGGGTGTTAGCAGTCGCTCACATCTGAAAATGCACAAGCGCTCGGCAGGAATCCGTCCTACACCTCTGACACCATCTTCTGTGGTTTTGGGTTTGCCTTCCCTTACTGAATACAGTGTAAGTTCCTTGAGGATAAGAATTATATACCAAGGTACTTTTTTTTGTAACTTTTGGATACAAAGTATCAATACTGGCCTACAGCTCAACTATATAGAGCGCTGGGCCTCAAGTTTGGTGTGATCCTGCTATCTCTGAGTGCTGGGATTGCAGAAGTACCAGACTATGTTTAGTCTAGAACAGTGAGTGAGTCTCAACCTTCCTAATGCTGCGACCCTTAATACAGTTCCTCATGTTGTGGTGACCCCAACCATAAAATTAGTTTTGTTGCTACCTCATAACTGTGCTTTGCTGCTGTGTAAATGCCTCAGGCGACCTCTGTGGAACCGTCCTTTGATCTGCAAAGGGTTCGCAACTCATGTGTTGAGAACCCCTGGTCTAGAAGTCATTTTTTTTCTCTCTTAGCACCTAGGATGGTGCTATAGCATCTTACTGCTTTTTTGACTTACTGACTTCTTTGTTGGTTGGTTGATTGATCTACTGACTTCTTTGTTTTGGCGTAAACAATAGGCATTTATTTCTCTCAGTTCTGGAGGCTGGAAATCCAAGATCTAGGTGACAGCAGGTTGGGGTCCTTCTGAGGCTTCTCTCCTTGGTTTGTCAGTGGCTGCCATCTTGCTGTGTCCTCGAATGGTTTGGGTTTTTCTTTTCTTCTTAAATCCAAATGTTTTTTCTTTTTGATCTGTCTTTATTTCACAGTCAGGTTTTGCTAGTTCTTTCAGGGATGTTTTTATTAGCTGTTTTAGGTGAAATACAGTTTAGTTTGAAAAAAGGGAAGAGTACCAGGTGTGTGTTTTTAGTATGCAAATGCTTTTCTATTTTTATATTTACATATTGATGACTTACTGTCTGAATTGCTTACTTGGAATTTAACTGCAGTGTGACCTAAGATCGCTAAAACTAGAGATTGGATAACCAAACCAGAGTAAATTGCCAGTAGTGTACTGAAATTGGTGAGGGTTTTCACCATTTACCTTACTAAAACAGGCTTTTTCATTTTGATTTAAAAAGTTCTTTTTGCACCTGAAACAATTATTTCCTAAAATAATTAAACAGAAGATAAAAATATCCTTCTAGTAATACATCATTTAAGCCAATACTCTATATGTAATTATCTGGGTACCATAAGATTCACTTAGATTCAAACAGTCAGTTATTTTTTGAATACTTTTCTGGCATAGTTTATGACACGGAATTATATCTGCCCCCATTTCTTTTTATGGACATGCACCTTGGGGTACTAGCTAATAGCCAAAAGGTGGATATAAGTATTTTATACTAGTCTTCAGTGCAGCCAGGGAGTAATAGTCATAGAAATGATGCAGTATTTTACCATTCAGATTTATTACTGAACAATTTAGTGTACCTGACTTGATTTATGTTTCTTCTGAATTTTACTAGTAGAATAACATATCAGTCTTGGACAGTTGTGTAAAAATAGTGAGTTACCCATTAGCTTGCTGGTAAAGATGGTGCTTTGACAGTTCAATTAAGGTTTCATTAACAACTGTCTGCTGTGTTTTATCTCAGAGTAAAGGTTCCAGCTTACCTGGTAATGTGATCAGGGGTAGCCAATGATAGATGTTTCTCATTGGCTCTTAAAACATCATCTATAACTCGACCTGCATTATCAAATGTCAGGACTTCTGTGTGCTCATATGGATGTTTTCATAATACGGAAACAAAACACAAACACTAATTTTTGTCATTTGGTAAAGATAATATAAATGTATCCCTTTGTTTGTAGTTTACCTTTGCTAGAGAAAAATACCATGCTTTAACAATGTGACAACTTTGGGACAAAGTGCTTTTTAGGGTCTTATAAAGTGTATAGTTTAAATAATTGGAGTAAGCTGACCACACAACAGTTTGAGGGCTGCTAAGCCTAGGTGGTTTTGACATTGTCAACATAAAATATGGATTGGATTAATGCTACATGCTTCCTTGATAAAAGTGTGTCCAAGAAAAGCCTCTACTTTATAAAATTAATGTTTTAGCTTTTGATTTGTCTGATTAATTAAAAGATCAAAGATCCTTGGATTCATCCAGTCTGTTGTCTTTGTACTTCAAATATAGTTGGGAAGCTTTGAATGTTTTTATTTTAATACCTTTAGCAAGTTACTTTTATCTGTATTTCAAAACTTCACCGTCACTGTGGTGACACTTAGTGACTTATCGCTAAGCTTTGTGATCTTGATAATTTACTATTTCGGTCCCGCATCTGTGAAATGGGGATCATAGTGCTTATGTTAGAATTGGTAGGGAGTTACCTGAGGTGATCCTTATAGACCAATATATCTAGTATACTGTAAATCCTTAGTGTATGCTATTGTAGTCATTGCTGGTTATAAAAAAAAAAAAGGACAAAATGCTCTTGTTAATGTTCTGAAAGAATCTTCCTAGGTTGTCAGATTTTCCATGTGATATCAATTTGGAAATTATTTTAGGAGGCATGACTTTAAACTACCATACAGTGTCCCTCTCAGTTCTACTCATGCCAAGGAGATAAAGAAGGTTGAATTCGGAGCCAAGGAGAAAATACTCTTGTGCTCTCTCAATCAGACAACAACAAAACAGGTACTATGGGTAGTTTAGCAAGTGTTGTAGTCATCTTCTGAGCCACTGTAGAAACGACTGTGGATTTACATGCTGGGAAGTAACAAGTGAAGGATGTCATCACTGTCTAAGTTACTTTAGCGGAAATTCACTTGTGTTTAGATGAAAAGTAAATTTCCTGTGAGGTGGGGAGATGTGTGTGATTAAATGAAAAATTATTCAGTGTAAACTTTCATGCATGGTAGAGATTCCCAACTTGTTCATCTTGTGAAAAATTAGAAGTGTGTTTTCTATGGTCCTCTTACTCTGTAAATAAGAAATTAGATGTTGGAAAAATCGGGGAATGCTTTTGGGATGTTTGGGGGAAATCCTTGATTTAGTTACTTCAGAATAGTACACTAAAAGTGTATTTTGCTACTGTTTTCCAGGTTAAGAATCTGTAGTGTTGAGAAGTTTCTCTTCTATCAGCTGAGATTAACAGGCACTGTGGTTGGGGGGGGGGAGTAGTCTGCTTTGTGCAGAGAGCTTTGAAGAAGCAGAGCCTGCGCCATAAAAAGGAAATGGTTGCTCTTGTAGACATAACAGAGCATCCGTCTGAACTAGCAGTGTGGAAATCTATATTGTTAATTCAACTACAAATAAACATAGTTTTAGAAACTCCAGGTTCTTGATCATAAACAAAGAAGAGTCAAAGGA